GGGGGGGTGGCTGCACGGGAGGGTCCTTGGCCGGCAGCCAAAGGCCTGGGGAATAGGCTGGTCGGCGGGAGGAGGCAGCCAAGGTGGCTGAAGGCTTGAGCAGCTCCAGGCCAGGCGGCGGCAAGAGCAAGGGGAGAAAATTTGAAATTTTCTAGGGATTCGTCGAGTGAAAATCTAATTTATCACGAATAGCTTCAATCCAAATCCACACAATGATGACTTGATCAAGATAAACAAAAGAAAAGAGAAGGACAAGAAAACTTAGAACTCATAAAGAGATCTAGCTTCTCCTTCGAACTCACTAAGAGATCGAGGAGGGTTGTACTCACAAAGAGAACATGAACTCTAAAATTTTCATTCATCAAAAACTAACTATTACATAAAAAAATGACCATATAAATAGGCCTCAAAATGACAAAGAAAGCAAAAGACTAAAATGCCCCTTGGGCTACAATAGCTACCAAATACCCATGAGGGCAAAAACGGAAAAACATAATAAACTACTACATAAAATGAGGAAAATACAGATCATGATCGTGGCCGTCGATCTCCGGCATCTCCTGAAGGTACATGTGTCGAAATCGCTGCTGATGTTCCCATCAAAATCCTTCTCGGATTTGAATTCAAATTAGATTTATTTTCCTAATTAATTCCCTCCCAATTATAATTAAAACTTCCCTAAACAATCCCCTTAATTCCTCCTTTTCCCTAAATTATTCCCTTTTAGATTTTGAATTTAAATTAGATATCTTGCCATAAATAATTCCCTTCCAAATATAATTAAAAATTTTCCTAAACAATTCCCCTTTGATTAAGAACCTTCCTAAATAGTTCCCTCTTAATTAGGAAACTTCATAATTCCCTCCAAATCAAATCGATCGATCTATCATAGAGCCTTCATCTTAATGCTCCTGGTAACCCTCATAAGTTAGAAGGGAACCATTATTTATGCATTCACCATTGCTCAAAAACCACTTTGTTGAAAATTTATAAGACAAACCCGGAACTTCTATAAACTCAAAGTCACAATTCCTTATAAAATACAACTCTCAAATTCAAAGAACAAACTCTCTTTAGAAGCTTTACTTTTTTTTTTCTTTCTCTCTTAGAAGCTTTGCTTTTAAACTGTTTGGGGGAGAGGCATTTATAGATATTTAAAACTTATTCACATCACAAATTATCAGCAACGAAAAAATCAATCATTTATTCTTCACCTATCAAACCTACCACACATAAATTTCTCGTATGTATTACCTAACATTTAAATATTCAATAAGTTTACTTTTAAATGTATATGAAATGTATAAGTTTTAATATGTAGGAATATATTTCTCATCAAGTAAGAAGCAAAGATTCTAAAGAGAGTTTGTAGTGTGAATTTAAGAGTTGTATTTGTAAAGTCATGACAATGTAAAAATTCAATTTTGTTCGACAAATTTTCAACAAACCTATATAAGATAATAGTGAATGGAGGAACAACTCCTTCCAAGTTTTAATGCTCACCAAGAGCAACTATGATAATTAGAGCATCAAGGTGAAAGCTCTATTTGAAGCACAATATGTGTGGTATTTTGCTCTATCTCAAAATTAAAATGGAAGACCTGAAGGATTCAAGAAATAGGGAAAGAAAGTTCTCTACCCCCATCTTTCAAGTGGTGAATTAAAAGGAAATTGAGAAAATGTCAGGAGCAAGTATAGCCAAAGAAGCATGGGAGAAGTTTCAAACTGACAGGAGAACAAAAAAAGTTAAAAAAATTATATTCAAACTCTGAAAGATGAGTTCAAACTTCTATTTATGAAGAAGTCAAAATAAAATTTAGATTAATTTTTCTAGATTATTGATCGTTGTCAAGCAATAAAAAAAAAGGTGAAGAAGTTGTTAAAGTAAAAGTTCTCTTCCAAGTCTCAAAGCTCACTAATAGCAACTACGATAGTTAGATCATCAACAAAAAGCTCTATCTAGAGCACAATATATGTGGGATGTCATAAACATGGCTATGAAGAAAAAATATAATTTGCTCTGACTAATCATTTCATGGCAACCTTATGTGGATAAAATATTCATCAAATGGACGCGAAGTTTTCTTTTTTGAATGTGGTTCTCGAAGAAGTCTATTTTGAACAACTTTTAGGTTATAAAGTGAATGAGCAAAAAGATAAAGTGTTGAAGTTGAAGGCCTTATATGATCTAAAGAAAGCACTAGAAGCTTGAAATAGTTCATGAATTGACAAGACTTTTCGAGAAAACAATATCACAAGTGGGAATATGAGCATGCACTTTATGTTAAAGTTCAAAATGAAGATATTTTATATGGAGATGACTTTATTTTGAAGGATAACCTAGACATGTTTGAGAAGTTCATGAAAGAAATGACAAGAATTTGAGAAGACAGATATCAGACTCATGTTTTACAACCTCGACATTAAAGTAAAGTAAAAAGATAGCGACATCTTCATCATTTTAAAAGTCTATGCAAAAGAAGTTCAAGATTGATGAATTTAATCCTGTTTGGATGCCGATAGAATGCACAGTCAAGTTATCCAAAATTAATGAAAGACAAAAGTTGGATCCAACTCTTTACAAAAGTTTTGTCAGAAGTTTACACTACTTGTATAATGTCAGATATTATGTATGTCATTGGAGTAGTTAATCACTATACGAATGTACTAATAAAAACTCATTTCAAGATTATAATGAGAATAACTTGGTTCATCAAAACTACAATCAACCATGACTTATTTTACTCATTTTCTAAAAAATATGAGATTATTGATATAACGATAGCAATTAGAGTGAAAATTTAGAAAAGCACAACTGAGTTTGTGTTCTTCACATGGATATCAAAGAAGCATATCATTATTACACTCTCAATTTGTGGAGTTGAATATATCCCTTTAAGAAACTTGTTAAAGAATTGCATTTTTGAAAAGAGGAGCCCACTGAGTACCAATTGACAATAAATTAGTACTTGAATTAGCAAGGAATCATGTCTTACACAATACAAGCAAACAAACTGACATGCATCATCACCACATAAGAGAATGCGTTGCAAGATAGGAAGAAGGATTGAAGTAACTGATGTCTCATTATCAAACAATGGTCATCTTCACTAAAACACTCACGCATAAAACTTTTATCAACTTACAAAGTATTTTTAAAGTCAGAAATCTAGTTTAAGAGAGGGTGTGATAAGTAATTCAAATGTTAGATAATACATATGAGAAATATGGGTATGGCAGGCTTTATTTGTGAAGAATGAATGGTTAAGTTTGCTTAGGAAGGTGAATAACATATGATATGGCATAAGCTCTACTTCCCTCAGCGCTTATATATCAAGTGAGAGACAAAGCTCCTAAAAGAGAATGAGAAAAAGGAAAAGAAACAAAGCTTTACAAGAGAATTTGTTGCTTTTATTTGTGAGTTTTATTTTGTAAAAATCTGCGACTTCAATTTCATTAAAGTTTGATTCTTTTTGTGATAAATTAAAAAAAAAAAAAAGGCAATTCCTAAATACAATACTCCAATCTCCCTCCTTCAGGTACTTTATTTTATAAAGATTGATGCATACCAATTCTCACAAGAATAACTAACATTCATGCATTCCAATTCTCAGGAGAATAACTAACATTCACCTATACCCTCCTAAACTTACAAAACCTCAGAATTGTGCTAAGTTACCTAATAAATGGCATGATATAAACAACAAGAACCAGAATTATAAAAAAATAATAATAATAATAACAACAACAACAACTCCTCAATCAAGCATATCATCTAAAATCAAACAAAACAATTACCTTTATCCGAATCAAGTTCGACAGTATCCAATTCCATTTCCAACTTGGTCACAATATCCTGAATATGATCCACGTGTGTATCAATTATATGCACGAGAAGATTCGACACCCTTTTCGGAACCGGATTATCCCCTTCCTCTGAGTGGTTCATCGTCAACAAGAATTCCAAAACATGCTCCGGTATTACAACAGCCTCGGTGCCATGCTTCTGCTCTTCAACGCTCGGAATCTCGGATAAAAGGGACCTCCCCGCCGGAGAGAACTCAAGTCTCGGAACCCTCCCCAACGAAACAGTGATTACGGATCTCTCTGTCACTCTTGCCGCGAGTCGGAGTGTGAAATCACTTGCCGCCGGGCCAGGCGAGTTGACTCGGAAAACGAGCGCACCATCGACGTGACCGACAAAGGGGCCGTTGCTGACGAGGGTTAGAATGTCGTGGAGACGGAATGGCGGGCAGAGGACTTCGATTAGGTATTCGGCGGCTTGGGCGAGCTGGTGGTTTCCTTTAGGCAGCTCGATGTGGTACCAATGGAATTCGTCGCCGGTGCCATCGCTGAGATCCCAGTCCTTGATGAAATAGTTTCCAAGGCCGTCAAAGCGGTACGCGCGCTGTTTCACGGCTACGGGAAAATGGGGCCCACGGTGAGGATAGGGCTCTTGTGCTGCGGAGTCAATGATTACGTCGCCTAAGCCGTGACCGGGATCGTCGGAGACCGCCATGGTAAGCGGCTGCCGCGGCGGAGGAGAGCAGCAGCGAAATGGTCTGACGAGATTTTGTGAAAGAGAGGACGAAGGCGGAGGTCAACTGCTGCAAAATTATCGTGAGCGTTTTTTGTCGGATTAGTTGTCGACGTCTTGGTTTAATGGTTTATAATATTTGGCGAATTGGCGTGAATGAGAAATTCGTTAAACAGAGGAGTTCAAGTCGTGCCGATTTTTATCTTCATTGAATATAAATAGAAAAATTTACATACATACCAAGTTATTTTGTGATATTTACATATTTAATATCTAAAATATTAATATTATATATCTTTTATCCATATACAATTTTAATATTAAATATATGACTCATATAATTTAATTCTAACATTCATACCATCTTATAAACTTTAATATTTCATTCCATACATCCAAATTTATTCTATGGATGGTAGACATGTAATATTAATATTTTGAGTGTTAGATATATAAATAACATAAAATAAAGTGGTATGTATGTAAATCTCCCATATAAATAATATTGATTTTTACAATTAATCATTTTAAATAATTAATATTGATTATTTCTATTAATTTTAAATTTTAAGAAGCATCCATTTTAAAATTTATGTTTAGCGCGAATTTAGCTCTGGGAGGACGTATCTCTACGTCAGGTGGGAGGACGCAATAAAAATTTGAATAGCTCCATCACTCAAAAATTTTATTTGGGATAACTTTCTTATTATTTTTAAAATAATTTTAAATTTTTTATTAAAATGCTGCTTTAGAAAACAATAAGTAAACAAGCTCAAACAAAGCATAAGATTTCATTTGCGATAATTCTTTTATAACTTTTTAAAACAATTTCCTATTATAAAAATTTCTTAAAAACAACAACAAACAGTAGCCAAAATTTATGTCAAACGAAGCCTAAGTCGACAACAAAGAAGAGAGAAAATCTTCTTGGATATGGCATAGACCAACAATATATGAAGAAATGGAAAGGAGAAGAGGAGTTCATAAAAGAATTATGGATTTAAGTTTAAATTCATCGAATGCCTAGATTTACTATGTTTGGGATTTGAGATGATGATGAAAGTCTATCTAATTGTGTTTATAGCCTTAGTCAATCAATTTTTAGAGCATAAAATTTTGTCATTGTTGAGATGTACACTCTTTTGATTTAGAGGCTACATAATTTTTTAGGCTTTGTATGAGGCATTTCTTACTGGTTTGCTTTTCAAATTGTAATTACAATTTTTGTTTGACCGTTAATTTTTTCTCTATTTTCAATAAATTTTTATGCTAGGAAGTTGTTTTCTGCAATAATTTTTTTAAAAATTATTTTATTCATAATAGCTTTACAACATATTAAAAAAAAATTACAATCATCCTAAGCATACCCTTATTCATCTTATCTCTTTCAAGTTGTTTTGTCTTTGATAATCATTTTTCCCCTCACGTTAATTTTTTTCTCTTTTACTTTATAGAGTTAATGGTCCAAATTATAATTAATTGGATTGCTCATTTTGATTGATGATAGTGTAATCTTCTTTTAAAATTCAATATATTTGAGCTTAAGACTCTATTAAAATAAAAAGAAATTGTTTAAAAAACTTTTTTACTAACAGGAAACATGGAAGGATAATACAATATAACATCTTTTTTATATTTTTTGATGAGCTTATTATAATCATTGCTGCAATAATTATAAGCAAGACATCAGCTGATCCAAATAGAAAATTTAAATTATTTTAAATGTCTTAATTACTCAAAATTATGTGATCTTTTTAAACTCATCGATTCATTTAATCATGAAACCCATTGTAATTACAAGCAAAAAAGATTTGAAGGATTTTCAACCATTAAAATGAACTTAAGAAATTTTTAATTATGCTTATAAGTGCTTAGTTTAGGCTTATTTGGACTCGAAGCCAAATATTTTTTTGGAATTATTGTGTTTGTTTCATTCAAATCAGTCTATCAAAATTATAAATTTCCTAAAAATAGAATCCATATAATCTCACAATCAATAGTAATTTTTTTTTAACAAATACTTAGTAACTCAAAGAT